ATGGCTCATCGAATAAGTGACAATGCAATAGCATCTGCTCTTGTGGAAGAAAGTGACGACGATTTGGTCGAGCTCTTTTTACCTGGAAGCGAAGATGAAACGGATCATTTGAGTGTGCAGTCTGAATGTGAAAGTGAAGAAGAAGAAATTACTTCGGGTGGTGAGTTTTCTAGTTCTCATCAGTTTTATATGGCTAAAGAACGCAAAACTAAATGGCTAAAGGAACCGCTAAGGACAATTCGTACAAGAAATAAAAATATAATTACACATTTACCGGGAGCAAATAGTCAATATAAAGATAAATAAACCCATTTGGAATGTTTTGAAGCATTTATTTCCAATGAAACACTGGAGATAGTTGTAAAATATACCAATGTAAGAATATGCTTATCTAAACCACAGTCATTAGATGGCAAAAACATAAATGCGCTGTGTTCTGAAACAACTAAATCTGAAATAAAAGCTGTTTTAGGGCTTTTATTTTTAGCTGGATTTTATCGATCTAGTAGACAAAACCTCAATGATTTATGGGCTCATGATGGTACAGGAATTGAAATATTCCGTTGCACAATGTCGTAAAATCGATTCTCGTTTTTACTCAATAATTTGAGATTTGATGATATTGCGATAAGGGAAGAAAGAAAAAAGACTGATCGTTTAGCACCAATCCGAGACATTTTCGAGATCTTTGTCCAAAGTTGTCAAAATTCGTTAGAGTTAGTTGCCCCCCTCGACCCCGAAAGTAGATGTGGTTTCCGCCAATATATTCCATCTAAACCTGCCAAATATGGAATAAAAATATTAGCCTTAGTAGATGCAAAAACATATTACACCATGCATTTAGAGATTTACTGTGATAAACAACCAGATAATAGTCCTTTCGCGGTCAGTAACAATCCCTATGACATCGTCGATTGTATGGTGAATTGCGTTTCTGGATCTTCAAGAAATATAACAATGGACAATTTTTTCACCAGTTACGAAGCTACTGAAAATTCAAACATAAACTAACAGTAGTAGGTTCCTTGAGAGCCAATAAAACTTGCATTCCACTGTGTTTCAAGCTAACACGAGAGGAACGTTCTTCAAGATTTGGATTTAGACTGGTTTTGTCCAAGCAAACACGTATTCGTAATGTCGTCTCTACATCATGATCAAGAAATAGACGAGGATACTGGCAACTAGCAAAAACCATCCATAATTACTAACTAAAAGTGGAGTGGATATAGTGGATAAACTCCCGAGGACATATGACGTGTCTCGTAACTCTAGGCGTTGGCCACTCACTATATTTTTTTCGATGCTCAATCACGCGGGAATCAATGGTATGTTCTTAAACATGTTGAATAATTGTATTGAAACAATAAAAACTAATAATAGAAGGAGGTTTATTCGCGATTTAGGAATGGCTCTGATAGATGAGCATTTGAGAAACCGTAAAGACAATCCACGGATTCCGAAAGATTCTCGTAAACGCATATATGATTTATTTGGTGAAACGCCTCAGGAGCCGCTAAAAAAATAGCAAGATCTAAAACAAGGTGTTCGGAATGTGACAGGAGAAAAGACCGAAAGACCAAGTACAGTGTGAGAAATGTGAAGTAACTATATGCTTAGGGGACGCACATTTTTACTGTAAAAAACTGTGCTGACTTTAACTACCCAGGATCTCATGAAGACTGAATATACTAAGCCACCTCTCACTGTTTTTTTATTTTTTTATTACGTAGGCCTTTAAAATAAAGGATATAAAGGTTTTTCAAAAATATTACTTATTAATATAGGCTATGCCAAAGAAGAGTATAATTTTTAGTTTGTAAAAAACTCACTTTTATGTTTTATTATACATAAGAGTATTAAAATGTTTATTCTATTTCACTAGTTTATTTTATGTTTATCCAATAATAAATCAAAAATACTATACACACAAAAAACAAACAAATAATTTAAAACAACACATTCTATTCCTCGATAATAATCAGGGTCCAGAAAACCCCACGTGGTGCAGGACATAACTTTTATCCACGTGGTTCACGGAAGGGTAAGGACTCAAGGTTTTGCACGCAATCCAGGAATCGTGGAAGGAACTCTTCAAACTAAGCTTTATATATTTCCATTTATCCCGTTTTATTTTTCATGTTCTAAACCTATCAATTTTAACATTATATCTAGATTCTAATAATTGTCAGGTCTCTTTTAATAGTTTTAATTTAACTGAAGTTGTGTGATTAAGCCGATGAAAAGGGATGATACCTATTCCAAATCAAAATATATATATTTCATCAAAAAACGTATATCCATACAATATTCATTGTTAGAGCTGCCTAGTAAGCATATACGAGTATATATATACAGTGCGCTCCACCCTTTCATAATGCTTATATACTAGACATTGGATGTTTCGAGCTTCCTTAAATCGAGAATTTACATTAACAAAAGGAAAACTATTGCTATAAATCATAATTTTTAGATTAGGGAACTTGAGCTGAAAAAAATTTAAATTAAGTTTTATAATATTTAAAAACAGAGGTAATATGGAAGAGATAATATAAAAGAGATATAATTACAACTGTCGCATAGATCAGCAGCTGCAAAATACATATCATACAGCCACTAATTCACACTGAGAGAAGATCTGTGTCAGTATAACTGAGTGGCTGTAATCAATCAAATTATTTTTACAATCTCTTAATTTTAAAGGGTATATTTCAATAATTTTATTACATAGGTGAGCTGATTGCATTTTGTAGTGTCGTTTAGCTGATTTTGTTTTAGTTTTCTGCAATTTTAAAATAAACCTGTTTCTTCTTTTATTTAGATTATTATAATTAAATGGTAAAGACCTGTGGAGTTTTAGAACAGTTTGTAATGTATATAACTTTCTCACTGATAATAATTTACTGTATACATATATCACTAAATGAAACAATACTTTCATAAAAAAAATCATGAAAATACTGAAAAATAAAACCAGCAGTGAAAATTAAAATGGTACCAGCTGATTAAAGGGTCAATAAACGCTCGGATGCTGAACTCTTTTATTTAGCTTGGTACGAAACAATGCAGGCACGCGTAGGTATCACTGTACTTCACTCACTATACCCTTCCCTTTTACACACGCGCTGCCGCCACCAGGCCGACCTGTGTCGCAATTTACAATAACATGTGAGGAATTCCCCAAATTACGGGGAAAATAGTAGTTGGTTGGGGATTGGTACTATGTGGGGATTTTGTAAATAGATTGCCCGGGCCAAGTAAGAACCTGTTTTAAGAAATCGAAACAGTTCTTACCAGTTTACTTGTTAATGTTGTTGTTTGTTTTAATTTAGTAAACAGTATCTTAACAGTTTTGTTAGGTTACTTATGAATAACGAATGACCCTTTTCTTAATTATCTCCTCGCATAATATTTAATTTTTGGATTTATTTTGGCACCTTCTGTGTATCATTTAATGCTTTTCATTGGTTTATTTTAATGAATTTAACAGCAGAGTAAATGGAGCTACTGCGGTCTTTTTAATGGATACAAGAGAAGGAATTAAAAATACTCCATTTAGTAAAATGCTTGTTACAAAAACATAAAAGTGTAAAGATAAATTTTTCGGTAAAAAAAGAAAAAAATATATAAAACAATATATTATTCGTAATGAATTAAAATTACAAGCGGAACAGTAGATTTTACACATTGGTAGTATTTACTATGATGTGCAGTTTATTTCAAAATTAAGCCACTTTGGAAGTAAATCGGCGATAAATCAACACAGACGCCTTATTCAAACATGATTCATAACCGGGATTTGTTGATTTATAGATACATAACGAATAACTGCATTATAGCTCAATTCTAGATGTTCACTATCTATGTAAACTTTCGAATTTAGTTAAATACATATTTAATTTTTAATTACGGAACGTTATTAGTATAGAAAACTTATGGTGGCCACACACAGTCAGTTAAAGTCATCAGTCGAACTGATATCAGTTCGAACGGATTTAAGCCAGTAGTTAGTTAGTACCAGTTCTGGCTCACTGAGTCAGAAGTGGTACAAATACGATGTTCGTCGACTCAAATCCTAAAAAATAAAAAAAAAGGTTTTGGCATGCTCTGATCACGAATCTGCGGTCCATTTTTGCGTAGGATACACGGTTCCGGAGATGTGCAGATCAATTAACTCTTATGTAATTGATATCTGGTGAGGGCCTTCACCGTCATTAGCGCCCCATTGTTATTTATCTATTGTTCATTGAATACCGTCATTGTCTATTCGTGCGTCGGATTATCAGTGCTATTATATTATACTCCTTTGTTCCTAACTGCAACGGTAATCTGAATCATCAATAAAATACATTACCTAATTTTGTTACAATTTTTATTTACGAAATACAAAATCTTATTACTTATTATCTATAAAATAGGAGCGAAACATCTCATCCACTAAAATATCGTTGTAAAATATGTTCCCTGTAAATATACTCGTAAAACTATGCATTGAACATCCCTGAAACTTATATAGCAAATACATTAAACAATATTCGCCACAAACTGAAGTCCACTCATTCTGAATCCTATCAACATTCCAGTTCCATCTTTTACAATTCCTTTTTAAAAACTCTAGATGATATCGTACAGGTGTTCGTGCGTATGAATCAAAATATTGACCGACGTCATTCGTATCGATATATAAAGCTACCCAATGTGACCCTGGTTTATCATCTGTATCCAAATTGCATATTATATACGTTGGCACGTGGGTGTACATGGGCAGTCTATTCGCAGCATAAACATTATTTTCTAGACGGGAAATACATCTAGTGTATCCATGATATTACGCTTAGTAGATTATTACAGTACAATCTACTCAATGACTAACATAGGAATGATCAATTATAGTGATTTTTAAATATTAAATTGCATTATTTTGTTTTATACAAAACGTATTTGATTCATCAATACACTGAACAAGACGCGACATGAAGTAATTTTGAGATAAGCAACAAAATGTGAGATAAGCTTGTTGACGCATAAAGTTACTATCAATTCCACTGCAGCAATTCTTTAGATTAGAATTATTACTTACTGGTACTATATAAGACCAAGCAAGTGCAGTCATGGAGTTAGTGTATGGTCGTTTGACCGCAGTGGATCTATAAATACTACATTTGTGTTACTTCAACGCATCAAAGGCCATGGATGTAAGTGTTTATTCTATTGACAAAGTTACTTTTCTTTCTGTTATTTTCTTACGAGTGTATGATTTAGTGTTAACAAATTATATTTAAATATTGTGTGTGTATTATATTAAGCCG